AATATCATATACGATAAATTTTTTACTGTAGACTTTTATTGATTTATATTTTTATTAATGTTTGAATAAAATTTGCCAATTTTTTTACATTTTATTTTTTTTAATAATTAAATTTAACAATTTTTTATTTTTATATACACCGAAATTTACGAAATTTGATGACAACCAATCGATTATAAACAAGATATTCGAATCTCAGCTGATTTTTAAACGATTCTTAATACCGTCTAAAATTGTGGCGAAATTTCAATCGAAAGTTATGGGCGAATTTTAAATAAATGTTGTTGATGATCGAAATTTGATCAAAATCGGTTTTACATCAGCCGAAATTTGGTCAATTTGTCACATGACCGAAACTTCTTATTTCGACTAGTGATATGAATTAATTAGAATAGACCAAATTGCTTGAATTAAGCATACAACTATAGGAATGCTCTCTCGTATTAATTGTGAACAACATTAACAGCTCATACAGGAAGATAGTACTATTGCAAGAGCTCAGATGTTGAAGAAGGAAGTTATTAGTGATAATCTGTTTACGTAAATAAATGACTGCACTATACAGGTCGAAATATGATATATCAGGATAAAATCATCATACTGATTCTTTTCTGATTCTTTACTCATTATATTATGATGCTATTCAGATGAACATATCTGACCATTCACAGATTCCTGCTACCTTTCTGAACAAAGCCGATAAAATATCAGCATAAGAATACTTCATAAGCATCAAATTTAATCATTGAAGAATCGGGTATATGAAATATCCTGATAATTATCTTATATTTATATGATTATTGTTTATTCTTTTGAGTTATCATAAAGTGTCTGGAAGATATCATTTAATAATTAGAATACTATTCGTGAATATACATATACTGATATTTCATAACTAACGTTAATCAATTTATTAATCTATTATAGCAATAGCAATAGCAATAAAATATTACATATAATGTAATGTTATACGATTTAAATATACAAATAATATAACACTAATTAAATAATAGCAAGTATATAGCTTCTTTGTAATCCTCGTCATCTTTCGCTTTACCACACATCTTGAAATGAAATATTTGTGTCAGAAACTGTAAAAATTTTTCAATATTAAAATAAAATGTAAATAATTTACTATAGTTATGATTCTTATGTTGTTAAACCATTTTCGCCATCATCAAATGTACGATAAGATTGAGATATCGCCTATTTTGGGGCATCTTCTGGTGGTTTAGACTTGTCGATCTATTTATTGTCATCATACCAGCGACGACGCGAAATTTTTATGTGGCTAACGTTCTCACCAACTTGGTCAGCCTTGCGAAGTAAATTACGAACCTATTTAAACAAAAAAAAAAAAAAAAAAAGAAACGTTAAATAAATAATAAATATACTAAATGATTTATTATAACACTTATACAACTTGATCTCCATGGCTTGTCATAAACATGAATAACATGTTTATCTGATTGGTTTTTATTTTTCAGTCAGATTTTTTCCGCAATTTCTTCATTTGTTAGTTCTTCATCGGTCTCTGATACCTCATCACTATGATACTTACCTTCATCTATTATTAATTTGTAATCATCTTTATAATCGTCCTATGACAATAAGGTTGGTCGAAGAGTTTCAAAAGAATCATCATTAATAGCTAACATATGTAAAAACCCCTTCTTTTGTCGTTTCTTTTTCTATTGTTAAAAAAAAACTGTATAAATCGAATTTTTTGATATGCTGTTTCCTTATCGATTACTTACATCACCTCTTCAGGAATTAGTTCCCTTTCTTTTCTTATCAGATTTGACATTACTCAGATCAAGGCTTAACTTCTATTGTTCTCGAAGATGACGATATAATTGCTGTAAGACCCATTTTAATTCTGTCTCTTTATAATGAAATCTACCTAACAAAACCGTTCCAATTTCCTTTATAATGTTCTTTAAAACATATTGAAAGATTTCACTCCATTTTTTGGTTGGATCGAGATGCAATGAATTGTCAAGTCCTTTGAGGATTTGTACTACCTCATTCTTAATTTAACAAAAAATAAATAATATTTAAAAATATATTATTAAACTGATAATTAATTAATACTTACATGAAACAA